TTGACGAGCCCCTGATTCCCCCATGTCATGACACATGGTCGCTTTTAAGGACTAGCGGGCTAACCCAGTTTTCGGGGTTTTTCAGAAAATCTTGACTTACACCAAAAGTGGGATAGCCCTACCTATAGGAGAAGTTTGGTTTCATTGGTGTGTATATTTGTTTGGTTATACAGAAATCTCTCCTTGCCTTTTAAAGAAACTGAACAAGGGGCCAAAAACTTAACCTTCGATTTTCTCAAAACAGCATTTTTCGGGATAGCCCCCTTGTGCTTAAAAGCGACCACATATTATAATTTTTCCCTGCCTGTCATCGCAGCTTGTCCATTTGGCACGTATGGAGACAAGTGCGCCTCCAACTGCACATGCGCAGACAAGTGTGGGTGTGATCACGTGACCGGCAAGTGTCTGCCGTGTGAGATCGACGGGACGCCGCGGTTCTTCTACAGGAAAGGTTTACTTTTGTTGTTTTGTTCTTGTTAGGTTTGGTTTTCTTTTGTTTTTCATTGAGGTCTTTTGTGCTCCCGTCGCCACAAGTCATATCATTATTTGGGAGGCAGGCTGCGACCGACCCAGCCTGTCAGGGCTAACCTGGGCTGAGAGGGACAAAACTATCTGTAGTGTGGTGGAAAAAAAATTCGTGGCGCAACTTATTCATGTCAAACATTTCCTGAACTATCAAACATAGACGCTCCAGCTTTTGCACAATGACCTGTATCAATTTGTCTTAGCAGATCGATATCTTTGCTAACGCCTATTAGCTGTATTCTAGAAAATACCGTAATAAATTTAAATAATAATTTTTTAAAAATCCAAGTGGGTGGTTTCTGCAGGTTTTAAAAGGTTTGTAGCTGAGGCAATGTTTCTTTTGGAAGCAAGTCCTTCATTGTTTTTCTAATCCTGACATTATACTTATTGAACCCATGTTTTGAGAACTTTAGTGCAAAAATGTGTTCGCTTTAAAATTAATTTCTTGTAAAAAAAAATTACCACTAAAAAGTGTCATTGGTGAGCTGTGACGTAGACCATATGCATGCAAAATGTGTGAGAAGCGGGAAGTCCTGTGAACAATTCTATTTTGATATCTACCATGTGACGGAGATTTGTAGTATTTTACGTAAATTTAGGAGGGAAAGTTTTTTAAAATCTAGCCTCAGTTGTTGTACGAAAAATCTGATTTAGTTAAGTAAGACAAAGTGATACAAACTGCTGTGCAAAGTATGGGTGACATTGATTCACCCGTTAAAGAGATCATTTGAAGATAAGTTGCGCCACCAATGTTTGACTGCACTATAGCAGAAAGACCGAGATACCATGCTCGATTTTTTTACAGAAATCCTTCCCACACTGGAATCAAATACGGACCTTGTGCGTGCGATAGCGAAACGGCTAATACGAGGTGCCCAGTGCGGATGGGATCGGGTCGGGTCGGGTCGGGTCGGGTCGGGTCGGGTCGGGTCGGGTCGGGGGCGATGGCCCCACTCGTCGCCTGGTGCCAAAGCCCTAGGTGCAGCTTTGCCTGGTGCCCACTACGGATGGGATCGGCGGATCGGGCCGATAGCCCGACTTGGCCACCTCAAAAACAATTTTACCACTAAAAAGTGTCTTTGTTGGGCCGATCCAGCTGAAATGGGCGTTCGTTTTTTAAGTCGGCGAGTCGGGCACGATCGGCATGTGCCACGAAAGCCGCTTTGCGCCCTGAATTTGACTAGCATACCGCCCCGACCAGACCCGGTCCTGCAATAGACACCTCGTATAACCGTCACAAACGCCTAATATGGGAAAAGGTTAGACTTGTTTACTAGTTTCATTAATTTCTTCATTCGTGAACTTTGCCCCTTTCCCCCTCTCCCGCTTGTTATCTTTCCTCCCACTTTCATAAAATAAAATGTCGCTTTTCTATTAGTCTCCTCCTTTTTTTCTTCTGCTCTAGTCCTCCGCATCTTTCTCCGTGTTCTACTCCTCCTTTTCGTTCTGTTCCTCCCTCCCCTCTTCCTCCTCCTACATTCCCTCCTTCTCCTCTGTCTCCTTCGGCGTCATCGCCGTCGTCGTCGTTGTCCTCTTCCTCCTCCTCCTCCTCCTCCTCCTCTCCCCCTCCTCCTCCTCCTC